GGTATATTCTGACAATCATTATAACAAATGAACAAAAATAAGTCAAAAACAAAGTGATTGTTATAAGTGCTCACCTAATAAGTTGTTTCTTTGTGTTAAAACTTTACTGTAAACCAATAAATCGCCTGAAATTTGTGATAAAAACAAAATATAAAGTTGACCATGAAATAATTATAAATTGATTTAGATCTATGAACATGTGCGGACACATACCCGGACAGATCTGCATCGGAGGGATCACTACAATAGAACTGCGGCGACGATTCTTGTGATTAACCGGTTCTCCAAGACTTTGGTTCAATAGATTGTATGATAAGATTGCAATCATAACGATATTATAATAACGAATATTACATACGATATTACATACAAATTAGTGTTCGGGGCGTTCAAGGGATGCGGTTCTGCGTCTTCTGTGGCGCTTTCATAGCCATCAGTGATGAGTTTCGGGGGAACGAGAGCTCGTCTCCGGTGGAGTGCAGAGGCCGGCGGCTCGTCGTGAATAGTCTCGTCTTCCCGTTCGCTCTCAACGCCATCCACTCTTCGTCCCAAAGCCGACAGTTTTTTGAATACAGGGTTCGTATCCGTACCCTAAAAGACCATTCACTCAATCATTATTTCATAACTTATGGAAAATAATGCAAAAATATAATCGATTGGTATATAAAGTGTGAGAATATACACAACAACTAACTGTCAATAAACGCATTTTTATCAATTTCTGCAGATTTGAAACGTTTCTTATATTCAATTCAATCGCTTATAGACTAAACAAATGTAATAATATATTCAAAAGATGTTTTCTGAATAAAAGCAATCCATTAGTTTATGTTCAATGGAAATCTGTCTTCCACTCAGTCCTAGACAACAATGAAAAGAAAAGTTTTCCCAAAATGTGTACAATAGTTGTGTTACTATCCGTTTGGACACAACATAGCAATAGATAACCCAAAACCAGGAAGAGTTTGGAGTTAAGGAATAAAAAGGGATGTCTTTTCCATCAAATTAGTTGTCGACAGAATAAGTCTCGCAATAGATATTCCGTGAAGAATATATGCATAGCTTTCACCACATCTTACGAAAAAGTGAAGATTTTGTGTTGAAAAAAATTGTTCACATTTTGGGTGGAGTTGTGACAGAAAACCATTACAGATATTCATTACTTTGAAAGACAGATGTTTATGACACTCATTGCGTTATTATTGATT